CCCCCCCTTGTCCACAGCTTCACTGCATGTGGTAGGACTAGAGGGCCACATGCCCCTGTAAACAAATCGGGTTTAAACTCCTGGAAACGGAGGGTAAAACACACACACATTTTGCGACAGTATGGTGCTATCATCCCAAGTTACAATATCCTGATAAGAGATTACCGTGGCCTCACAGATGGCATGGACGTTTCCATTTTGTCACAATTCGGACGGCTCCATTCTCACCAGCTCAGTCTCAAGATACCAGTGGCACGGGCGTCCGCCAAGGACGACCTCACTTGGGAAACGACCAACGACCCAAGAACTCCAAGACCCAGGTATCCCAGGTTCAAGACATGTTGTACTGACAAAGGTTGTTTGTGGTAGAGGATTTGAACAGTCCATGCAGATTCAAACTGGTCGAACTTGGTTTTGTGAAAGGTGTCATCATCCTTGAAGACATGTTGAACACATGCTCAAAGCAGCAAGCAGCTATTCACACAAGCTGGATACGTTGGGGATTTTTCCCCCCGAGTTGGGGTTGGAAGAAGAGTTTTTAGTTGGGGTTGGGGTCAGGGGGGGGCAATGGCAGCAAGCGAACGTGGGTCGCTTCTGAAGATCGTTTCGCTACCCTGCGCGTAAGCATGCACATGGGGGGCATCGCCGGGGGTGTCGAAGGAAAGTGCGGCTGCTCAGCAACCTTTCTGAAGAGGAGTTGAGAAAGAACCAGGTTGACGTGACATCACTGCCGGCCATTGGTCCTGCGTTTTGGCAGCAGAAGGAGACCAGTTTGATTGCGCGGAACTTGGGCTTTTCAAGCTCATTGAAAGGCGGAACACTGACCATCACCAGGGAGTCCAGCAAAGATATCTTCGTCCGCGTGAGCAAGTGCCTTTCGGACGTTTCACTGGTGTGCCTCAAGATGATGTCAGCCCTTCTCTCTCTGGAGGCATCGATTCATGTTTGTAACCTGCCCACCCCGGAAGCAGCTTCAGCCCCACGGGCCAAGGAGTTTGAAAGGGTGTGGCTTGGAAATCGACGGCTGGCTGAGGGTGACAACAGGACTGGACGGCGCTTGGCCTTCAATGTACCTTCAGCCAGCACTGCAGCCAATGTGGTGGAAGCCAAGATGTCTTGTGCTTCACAGATCAATGGGATTATCTCAAGTTTTTTCGCCGTGAGTCAGTATGTGTCCGACTCCATCTACACCTGTCCCCCACCGAACCAGGTGAAATCCGAATATCGTGCCAAGTGTAGCATGGGCATCAGCGTTCTCGTCTCAGGACTCGGGTTTGTTCGTCGTCTAAGAGTCTAGGAATGTCCAGGAATGTCTATAGGATTTACATCGGTTGCTTCCCTAGCGATGGCCTCCACCCTATTGGTTGCTTCCCTATATATAAGGGCCTCAAAGGCTAGGCTATTCCGGTCGAGGTGGTCACTTTCCGTGTGATAAGAACATACCGTAACATAACATACCCTAAAGACCACCAGTGAAGATACAAAAGGGCTCAGGACTTTTCCGTTCTTTGTTGAACTGTCGATGATTCAGATGATCTGTAGTTCAGTTCGCACCACTCTCCGCTCCACGCTCGCACCGCTCGCACCGCTCGCACCGCTCTGGCTCTCGCGCCAGCTGCCTTGAGGAGTGGAAAAGAGCGCCGCTGCCTTGAGCGACATCGCTGTGGAATGCCAAGATCCCACCAGTGGTGTGGTACCCTACTCAAAGGAGATCCAGCCAGGTCGGGTTCCAGGTCGTCTCGAAGGGTGTATTGACACACCGTAGGGTCTATCTTCGGAATACAGCGCATGCGCTGAAACACCAAACATGATTTCACTTTGAGCTATTCGCACCAGCCCAGATACACTGGTAGGATAGTATCATGTTTGTAATATGTCTGTTGTTTGCTCTCGTGTTTCTCCTGGTGTGTTGTCAAGTTTTACATGAGTTGTGGTCATGTTTCCCTTTTGTGTGCCCTTCTTTGTGTCATTCTTTGCCGTTTGTCCTTGTGTACTGTCAAAAGTTGAGGACTGCGTTGTGCCTGCGTGGACCGCTTCTGTTGAGGACTGTGTCATGATTTCTGCGTGTCAACCAACAACAGACAAGAAGAGTACTGACATCCCACCTGAAAAGGCACATCCCACCGCCGAACGTGGCCGGTCAAAACGCCTCGTCCCACCTGTGGCCCGAACCGGTCATCGAAGCCAGTGCTCCGATATATGATGATCTGTTGTGCTTGTCATTACACTGGGTGATGCCCTGCAGCAGAGGTCGGGGTGGGTTCCGTTGTCTACCTATGGCCTCTATGGCCCCTAAGGCATCCGAACTTCTGAACGCCCCATGGACAAATAGCCACTCTGCAAAAGGCATAGCCAACCGTCATGAAGAGCAGACGTGCAGGCAGGGTTCCAAGCAACCATCTCAGTCTTTGTAAAACGTTCTTTTTTTCATTGCGAACAGCTTGCATCGACTTGCAAATGTTGCTACGCGTGTCCCTGAAGGTGCGAAGAAACAGACACAACCTTTAGGCCTCATGTATATCATTTAATTTAGACATGTTTATACAGTTCAGCCACACTCAAAAGAAGTGCGATCCGGTCCATTGGGGTGTCCCATCACGTGTCCTGCTTGTTAATGGAAATGTGACCAACTGAAATGTCAGACGCTGAGGAAGTAGTTCTCTCCTCCTTGCGACCCGCGATGTCCTCAAACAGCTCAAACAGCTTTAGGACGTTAGGAGGCAGCGCCTTGCGATGCTTAGGATTTTGTGAGGTAGGAACCTGGCAGTCACGCGCGACACCCAGTGCGACACACAAAACGAGCCTGGCAGTATTGACCAGCATGCAGACAAGCGCAAATCACATCATTTCATGCGCAGGTGGCGCTGTTTGTGTTTTCGCTGTGTTGGTGTGCAGTTCCACAAAATTGAAAGAAGACGGAGACAAAGTTTCATTGTTCTGGGTGTGTTGAAAAGCAGTGCAGCTGTCAAAGTACTGTAGACTGTTGATGAATACAACTTTGTTTGGTTTGTGAAAAGTATCTTTAAATGTTTTTATTAGAGTCTACATTACTGCACCGGCGGTGAGTGGAAATGGTGATGCAAAACCGGGTGGGGCTCTGAGGTTCCGATGATGATCACTGGTGATATCATAGACAGAAAACACGATGTCTTTCAAAACGATATCATACATCCACGCAGATTGTTTGCAAGCTTTAAATAAACAACACCATAATGAAACTTAACTCATGGCATAGAGTGAACTCATGATTCTTGACAAACCCAAGGACTGTTGAAAAACCCACTGGCACCACCTCCTTCAAAATTGATTTTGTTGGGCCGGGATGTTCGTCAGCCACCAACAACCACAAGAATCACATGGACAACTTGGAGTAATTAGGAAAGCAACGCGGGGACACACATTGCAGCAACACACCACCGCCACCACCACCACCAACAACAACAAGCGGCAGGATCCGACACACGGAAACGACTTTAATGACTTTACTAGCAAGTGGTTTGAGGATGTTTCGGTCATAGGGTCCATGGTTGAGCTAAAACGTATCAACAGTTATGAATTATAAACAACAACAAGCCAAACGCTTTGGGGCCCGAGGTATGTTGGGGCCCATGTGCCCTTGTTGTCGAGGCTTGAGTGTCATGTTTGGGCGACCGACTGAGGTCGAAGTGAAGTTGTTTTGGCGGCATGCCTCAACAATATTGGACAAGCCATCACGTACATTGCCAAGATTGGGTATCAACTCAACAGTCACTTAGCCATTGGATACATGTGATGGTTTGTGAAAAGAAACCTCCTTCAGACAATCATGGGAGTGGAGAAGGAGTCCCCCGAGAGAACAATCCATCATTGGGCACGTTCATGAGTCAAAGAGTTTTGCTCGTGGACGGTAATGTTGTTTCGATCAACATTTCTGCAGGCGGCTGCAGGGTTGCCCGTGACGAAAACCGATCAGAAAGAGGAGTTCCCTGTTTTACTTGTTGGTGTTTGAAGACACCAAAAAGAGAGCAATTGGGCATAATCGGGCTTGCATTTCTTGAACACATGTAACACACATGCTGCCTGCTTTCCACTATCAGCACTAAGGCTTGGCCACGTCGCCAGGGGTGTGTCCCAAATATCCCACCACCTACGAGCGATACGTTTGTCTGGAGAATATCGGCTCCCTTCTGGCAGATTTGGGACAGGTTGCCACCTACATCTCAGCAGCGGCGTCTCTTGGATGTGGTCGAAATTCACAGCCTTTTGCTTTGGATCCTTAGGTTTGAGGTCACTTAGGCCCGTGATAGAGATTCCAAGAATGGTCACTGGGAAGGTCCTGGTTAATGTTGTCTTGACATACGTTTGCGGCTTTGGATGGGTCAATTTCATCCACCCCCTGAGACGGTTTTCGCCGGAGCGGGGTTCGTGTTGCCTGTGTTCATCGAAATTGAAGTGCTTCAGAAACTCACCGACCTGCCAAATGATTGTAGTACCCCTAGTCAATTAACACCCAATTAACTGTGCTTTTGGGGTGGGCTTGATCCAAATCTAAACAATGGAGAAGGATAGAAACATGGATTTGGATTTGTCGTGTTGGAACAAGTCCTGGACGTCACAGTGTTCTAGTCGACGAGGCCTTGTTCCCCGCATGGTGGAAGACTAGTATACACCATGAACTGGAAAGTAAGGGATCTGTTCGACTGCCCCTAAAAGAGAAACGTGTGTGGAAAGAAAATAAGGAAAGGCACGAACAAGAACTACAGGTACAACACATGAAGAACCAAAGGTCGACCAAGCAATCAAGCAACACTCCAGCAGAACAAAAACAAAGGCCGTTGACCCGAAAAAACACCATCCTTCTGACTCGCGATTGCGAGGTCTGGTTGTGGATCAGCCACCTTGGTCCCTTTCGCTTGCTCCTCTCGCTTGGCTGCCACGATTACCGGTCTCTTTGATGCTGTCCAAGGGATTGGTGCCACGTTGGCCTGGTGCAATGTCCCCGGGATCCTCCAGATGCTCAGCGATTCGCGTCCGCGTCGTCCGTCGGCTTTTTTTTCCATCGGTCCCTTCGTGTTGGAATGGCTCTACGATGGATCTTCTGAAAGGAAACATTGTTTGTGAAGTGGTTGGTTCTTGTGTCTTCGAACAGCATGAAATCAACTGTCTTCTCGGTTCAATCTTGGAAACACCCGTTAGGTTCCAAAGCACACCCTCAACAAGAAGCTCTAGGTATTGCCTCGTTATTGCCCAAAGTGGTAGAATAGTTCAGGAGCCCCATGGTGTTTCGGGGCAACCAACACTTCAGCAGATTGTAACACACAACGGACTATCCGGTCCGTAGCTATCCTTTGAAAGCGTAGGCATGCCTATGGGTGTAAGAGTTAAGAGGCCACCGATTCAGTCGATGTAGCCACTTTTGCTTGGCACCCGCCCATGTCATATGTAGCAGCTGATGGACGAGGGATGATGTGTCTATTTTTTCAGCTCCACCCTGGTCTAGCCCAAGCCTTGCGACCCTCCACTGTGAAATCAGGTGAGTGTCTCTGAAGGATGAACAGAGGAAAAGAAGGGCAGTGAAGCATTGCAATTTCAAGACATGGGAAGGCAAGGAAGGCTACAGACAGAACCTAACCAAAATGGAAATCAAGGAAGAATGGATGAAGGCAATACAAGGCAGCAAAGAAGCAAGCAACCCTGCGTAAGAAGCCCCCGAAGGAGTTGTTTCTTGAGCTTGATACCAGCATGTGGGTGAGGGGGTGGGTGTAGTTGGTTGCACTCGGGGCTCGCTGTGGTTGGGGTCTTGCGATGGTCTTGCGCTCTGAGAAGCACAACTCAGCTAAGTCAAGGTATGTCGTTCTTTGTCTCCGACTGCAGCATGATGAAACTTGTGGGCTGCGAGGGGCGGCATGAAAGGCCGTGGAAACCAAGCGCCTAATGTTTCAACAACTTCGGTGGCAAGATGTGTGGCAAGGATCCTGAAAGAAAGCCCTTGACAGCTGAGTGTTGCATAGAAAATGCTTTGACGAATTGCCTTTTGCACTTTGTGTGGTCACATGCTGTCGAAGTTGCACAGTAGCCGTTGGGCTTGCGCGTACGGGTAGCTTAGTCTGATACTTTCACAGTCCTGGCCTGGCCTCCACCAAATACAGTTGTAGAGCTCCCAGTCACAAAGGATGCTGCCCTTTTGTTTCACTGGCTTTGGTTGGAAACAGCTGGAGTGGGTTGGGGGAGAGGCTCCCCAGAAAACCAAAAACAACGGCCTGTTGAAGTGGTGTTTGCACCAACGTGCAAAAGTTGTGCTTGGGTTTCACTTGGCTGGCTTTGGTTGGTGTGACTTGGTTCGACGTTGAAGAAGCATGAAGAAGCGACAGAGTAGCACTCCCAACATACCAAACCAAGTGCAGCTGGCTTAGCTTGCTTTCGTATTCTTAGTTTGGTCTTCGATTCAAAAGTCAAGTCTTGGCGGAGGGCATAAAGGGCATGTGGTATTCTCTTGCGTCATCCTTTTGCTGTGGCAACTGCACAAGGCATGCAATGGCGACCAATAGCAAGTCTCGTTCTCTCGTGCTTTGGCCTCTTTTTCTGGCCTATCCCCTTGCAATGTGAGACTTGCAGCACGCTCCTCCCGACCACGATCGGGAGTCTCAGCATTGCAGCACTGTTTTGCCGCTGCTTCACTCCTTCACAGCCTCTCCAAGCATGTGGTTCTCCGCATAGGCCTAAGCACGTTCTTTTCTCCGTAAGCAGGTGTTGAGCAGTGGTCTCAGTAAAGAGACCATCCTGACGTGTGTCATGCATGAGTATCCATGGGGGCTGCGAGTGTGCTTTATATGGGAGCTGTCGTGAACAACTGCGGGTTGGGGACACACTCAGTAGCTCTGCCCGCCCATCGTAGGGACCCTTCACATATCGTACATGGGACCACATGGGACATCCGGGTTCAAATGACCACCAATCATGTGCATGTTGTCTGAGGAAGAATATCTCAGCACAAGCCAGCGAGCTCGAGGAGCAGATCAATGACGCGGTGTATAAGCACACGATCCAGTTGGGCAAATCATAATCCCACAGCAAAAGATCGGGGACCATAATCCCCGAAAGAATTCACTCCGAAATAGGGGTCTCTGGGAGATGTCATGTGACGATTTTAGCATTTGCTGGGTTTTCCTCCAGTAGAGGCCTAAAAGCTATTTAAATAGTTTGGAAGCACGGACACAAAGAGGCCCCTTACCAAAGATATTTTTGGGGCAATGATCTTACGTCACGGCCTCTATAGATGGAGGGTCTCACTCTCAAAGCAGCACAGTTTTCTCTAGCGTGAATCTGGCGGAATCGCGTTCTCAGTTCTCGCCTGTTATCTGCAGAGTTCAGTGGGAGTACTTCATGTTTTCCCTAGCCTCACCACTGAAATCACAGAGGATCAAAGAAACCGACTCATGGTTTGATCCGGTGTTTTTTCTTTTTTTGAGCAGACAATGTGCTCGAACAAAGTGGAGTCTAGGACAAAATGATGAAGCGCTCTTTGGCACCAACGGGGCTATGGGATTGAGCAGGGTCGTTGACCAAGATCCCAAACCGGCCGCCCAATGGAAGAGATTAGATGAGCTAGTGCTTGAGTGCTTGGGTATATCCCACTCCCTGCAGTGGATGATGATGATGATGATGATGATGATGATGATGATACATGATGACAGTTTTAGTAAAGGCCTTTCTCCAAAATACTGAATTAGTGATACTCTTTTATCAGCTGTTACAGGTACACACCCAATGCCTTGTGCAGCAAATTTGCAACCTCACTTCCAGGGCGACTTTTTGGCGTCCACCTGGGTCCCAATCGTGTCCAGCGGACCTGATCACAACATGAGGTGCACCGGTCACCCAGGCACTGCGCAGACCAGGGGATGCTGGAATTGAACAGCGGCTTTCTTCGCCTTGAGAGCTTAGGCTTTGAGTCATTTGATCATGCTTCAGATCACCCTTTGTGCACATCGATAACCCTCGTCGATCCCATCGCCGCCTCGGAATCGGTTTTCTCGTCCACACGGGCGAGCAACGAAGGGAGCTCGTTGCTCGCTGCACGCCATCCCTTTTTTAGGCTCCGTTTTTGGGACTTGAGAGATGAAAGCGACACAAGTCTTTGAGCGTTTCACGGCAAGATGTCATGTTCAAGGGCCACTGTGGCTACATGAATGTGGGATCCAGTGTTGATATCTCAGTGAAGACACTATACAGAATGCTTCACATGCCAGAGATAGCCAGAGATAATGATTATTCTAAGCTTTCGACAACCAAATCCTAATAATGAGTTGGACTGCCCCACATTCCAAGATGCAATTCCTCGCCATTGCTTAATGATTTTGTGGCATGAATTGATCAAGGAGCTCACTTCACCACCGTGCCAAACATCTCAAAGCCACACCAAAGCACCCTAGCCTAGCCGACCGGGGCCGACGTCACTGGCACCGCTGGGCTTCCTTTTTGGAGGCTCGGGCGCGAAGAACCGGACAAGCTCATAGAAGATTGAATGAAACCATACCCTGTGAATCCATGGGACTGTAAGATATTTGACCATGGGACTGGTGTTTTATGATGTTTTATATACTGTCCATGTAGGTCAATCTTCCAGTCCCATGGCTGCCATGGCCTATCCCGTCAGGAGAGATCTTGCTTTGCCTAACGACCACGGTGTGGTCCGTGACGACCCGTGTGACATTCGGACCGAAGACCGATGTCATTGTTTTATCATGTTTTATATACGGTCCAAAAAGAACAAAAAAACAGGGGAGCCATGTCAGTACTCACACATATATAAATACTGTATATATATACATATATATTAATATACCATATTATATTACGTTACTATATATAGAACATTACAGAAATCAAAATGAACTTGCATGTGTTTTGTTTCAATTATATCATTGAAACTATAGTTTAATAATTGATGTTGATTCTGTGAAGCTTTTGGTGAGCCAAGATGCCCCTCACCCAGCAACATTTAAGAATATTATTGAAGATGGTGTTGCTTGCTCGCAGGGCATGAGTTGGGTTATCATCAGAAATAATTGTGAAGCTTGTATGTTGTTAAAGAAGTTTCTACCATCAGGAATATGTTGTTAATTTCTTCATCAAGAGTTTTTTCCCCAAACAGTGTGGACACACTAGGGGTTCTTATGGTAATAGAAAAGCAGCTGATGCTTAGATCGCTGAAGCGCCGGCGTTAACGGCTAATTCATTGCTATTTACAGTACATTCATACCTCTCGACATCGTCAATGTGCATTTCGACTGCGCAGGCTCGCAAAATCTGGGTGTCCGCGGCGGGTGCTTCTAACGACTGCGCTCTCGTTGTGGTGCCGTGCACATTTTCGCACATGGCGATCACTTTTCATGGCAGGCGCAGGGGATGCTGACCAAGACACCCCTCCACACTTGCTAAATCATCCTAAATGCAAAGAATCAGCATGGATTCAACTAATATGTATATATTTATATATGAACCAATATATAGATTAATGATGCTTAACTCCAAAATTTTCGTTGTCCCGTGCTTATTCCCAAAGAAACCATGAAACCATGGCCAAACATCGTGCTTCTTCGACACTGAACTGGCAGGTCATGGCAGAGCTCCATGATTTGGTGCGGAGTTCCCAGAGCAATGGGCGGGTTTTTGAGGAAGATCCGAAACGGAGAGCAACCAGCAGAGGTTTTTATGGCGATGATGGTGATTAAGGATGAATTGGTATTCACAACAAGAAATGGTTTTGTGCGAGAGATGGACTGTTTAGACTATAGTTGTTTTAGTTTGTGTTTGTATTTGCTTGGACAGTTGTTTAAGTTCCAAGCTCTTCGAGGTCTATAGACCATGGGAATTCTTGGCTGTCCAGTGGAATCACACCTTTGCGGTGGTGGTTGCCTTCGAGACCCTTTGCAACGTTGTGGTCGTTAAAAAATGAAAATTGAAGGTTCATCCCCACTTGGCGTTGATCATTGGTGTTCTTTCCATGGTTGCCAGTATGGCATGATTTGAACATGTTTCAAGGTTGTGATGCGATGTTTACCTGGTTCCAGAAAACACTAGGTTCTCCAACATTTCCCAGATTCCTATAGGTCCTGAATGTAATTCTTTGGTGTCGAACTTACAGGGCAAAACTTTGCAAGCAATAGAGGAGGCCCTTTTTGATAATGCTTTTGGGATTGTATGATTCCTTGTTCAGACCGCAGTGATGTGCATGTCTGTCTTGTCTCTGGTATGGTTCTGTTCTGTTCCAGTGCAAGAAAGAGGCAAGGCTCACAAGGGTTCAAGGGGCCCGTGTTGTTTGAGTTTCTTAAGCAATGGTTTTGCATTCGTGAAGGTTCTTTAGTGAAGCCCAAACATGTCTGGGACTTGTCAGTATTGAAAGCTCCCATAGTTGTACAAAGAGTTCTCATAAGCTTGTTCTAAGCTGTTGCTGTTGTCGTTGTAGCTAGGCCAACAAATAGATAAGACTCAGAAACATCCTGTGTGTTGATGTTTTTGGTTTCTTTATGTATTGTAGTCCCGGGCCGGTGTACTTCTTATAGATTCAACCGATAAGTTGATTAACATCAAGTTCAGGAATATTGGTGTGCACATCTCCGGAACAAAATGAGTCCTTCCGTCCAAAAACCGAAAACGGAGCCATCCTGCCATCCTGCCTGAGTCATTTGTCCACCGTCCACAGCAGTGTTCCAGGTGCACAGCAGCTCCCTCACCCTGATGGTGCCCGCGATTTTGCTCCTGGCGGCGGCCTTGTTGTGCGTCTACCGGCAGATGACCGAGGCAACCAGTCGACCGTCGCCCTTGTTTCTTTGCACGAGCCAAGAGCCTGGAGCCACGGCCAAGATGGTCCTTTGGATGGACACTTCATGAGAAGAGATGGATAGAACCTCGAACTGATTTGATCGTTTCCAGCGCGTCCAGGGATAGATAGGTCACATCTGAAACCCTCCCTACCTGACGCCAGCGCTTTCATGAAGCCCTTCGTCCTTCCGCCAGGACGCTTCGGACTTACCGCTGACGGGATTTCTGGTGGCCATCTCAGCCCAGCTAGTGGACCTATGCGGACCTCTCGATTGCCCAACCACGTGTAATCCGGGCCCTCTGAGTCTTTTTTGGCGCTTGCCGCGAGTCAAAGAATCACATCTATCGCCACCTTACAAAGCACTGCCTGAGAATCAAGCTCCTCTACACTGGACGAGATCGGAAGACCATCAGATTCACAGTGCATGAACAGCGGCCAGGCTACTTAAGCATTTGTGAGAGGTTGCGAGGGGACAGCTACAGCAGTTTGGCTGTCTCATGTTTTGGAGGTGTGACACACACGCACACGCGCACACACACTTCGAACTTGAATTCTTCAGTTAATGCAAGTATCACGTTGGGAAGGAAGGTGATGGAACAGCAAGGCGAAAAGGTCCAAAGACTTGAATTGTTGAAAAAAGTTTCACTCGCGCGGCTAGCTGCAAGGCTGAGGACTGCGGTGGGAAACCTGTTTGAGGAGAGAGTATCGTGATCAAACCACCATGGCATCAAAAAACAGCAAGGAAGAGTGGGGTAGTGTCACGAGCAGGTACACGGAAGTGATCAGCTTCCGCTTCCTAGGAGCTTGCAAGGAGCTTCGTTGGGCAGAGCCTTGCAAGTCCTCTCTGCCCCCCTGCTTGCGAAAGGTGGTGGTGGAAAACCCTTTGTCCAGGGGTGGACACACACACACACACCACCCACAGTCACATGCAAATGAGTTTAATGCCGCTCCTGTTTTGCGAAAGACACTCAGAGTGTAGCAACTCTGATACTTTATGGTCTATGATTGGCAAGCTTGGGACTCCAGAATGACACACATGTTAAAGACTGAAGACCAAATATCCTCATGGCTTGGATGATAAAGAGCACTGCAAGCTCTACATCTAAGTGGCAGGAGGCGTTGATCATGTTCGGAGTGGTCTTCCAGTATGCATGTTACACCCTGTACAATGGCATACCAGCTTGGATTCCTGTTTTCAATATATATATATATATATATATCATTGGAATGTGACAATGTGTCCCATGAGAGGGTGCTGTCATCAAATCCAGAAGCTCCTTAAAGCTACCTACCTTTGAACGCAAGATACGCTGTTCAGTAGACGCGGATCGGTAAGACCCCACCAATTTACCATATATTTATATAGATCTGTTTGAGTTGTTCTGGAGCTCGCTTCCCATCTACAACTTCGGGTCCACCAGTTGTCACGCAGCAGGCTGGCCGACCGGGCACGGCGGGCAGTGCACCTCGTCCGAGGCCACCATCCTCTTGTCCATGCTGCCACTCATGGCGCTGAAGGCGGACATTGGTGTCGCGATAACCTGGGGCTTCGGAGGGAGGAAGGCAAACCTGGACGCTGCCGAGATCATTGGTGGAAGAAATCCTACCACCTGACATAAGATGACATAAGGAGAACTCGAGTCCCTATTTGTGAATCATTCCTTCCATATCTTGTTGAAAAACAATGTTTAGCTACAAGCAGAATCTTGAAAGACTCACCGGCTTCCTGTCACCATTTTTTGCTGCTGCGCCACGGGCGGCGCTGAAGAGCGGTCCCTCGCCGTGCTGTCCCTGTCGGTGTCCCGGTCCGACCTCCGGTGATCAGTCGGGCGGCGGAGGCGAAGATTTGGTCCTGCAACGATCGCGTGAGCTTAGTGCCAATGGCTCGGGGCGCCCAGCCGCTGGGAGGGGGGCGGTTTAGCGCCGCGCTTTAGGGCCGTGAAGATGCAGTTTAGGGACCCTAGGGGGAAGGGGGCGGGCCGACGTAGGTTAGGATGAAAGGGATCAATGATTCGTGAAGTACCTGGAAGTTCAGTCTCAACCAGAGGCAAATGGTTCTTACATGGCAGTTGTGGTTGTGTGGGTTTCCAGGTCGACAGTCACCTGGTGACCCGCTGACCCGCTTGCTGCGGCCAATGGGTGGGTACGGCCAAGAGCTTGCCCAGTTGTGTTCGACTCGAGAGGGGCTTCAAGACGCAGCTTGGGCGGGCGTGGGGCTACACTAGTGGGGCTACAAGTGCTGAAGCTGGAAGCTAGCGCTTGATTGCGGACAGCAAAGGTCATTGTGTGAGTTTCGTGCACTTGACCCTCAGATTAGCTTGTGATCGTTGTTCCCTGGTTTCAGATCCCTTTGCAGAAATCGCAGCAGCTGAGCACACAACCCTCTATAGTTCTTAATATGCAATTGACACACATGCTTTAGGCCAGGGGTCTCAAATTCTCTTCTAGTGCAGAATGCCACTGCAGGCGCTTCAGCGGAGTGTTTGGTTTACCTTACGATTCCAAGCAGGCCCTGCGTGCCTGCATGCCGCCCAGCCGGAACATGCAACCGGTATTCCGAGGTCTTAGTGAAGACGCTTCTTATGCGCGGGCCATGGTGAATGGGCGGCCAGTTGAATCAGCTCAATCTTGTACCAATAGAAAGCTTTATAAGGACCACTGCATTGGTGGCTTGTGATTTGTTTGGGAATCCTGATGGATACATACATGCATGATCATGCATGTATTGCGTTTTCAGAAAGCAAGCTTGCCAAGGAGAACTCGACAACTCTTGAACTCTGGCCTGTTGCAGGTGGAGAAATCAATGGGCGCCGCATGGCCCTACCGTCAAAACCAGCAACGCCCCCTGTATATCCCATCTGCAACCATCACGCCCACGAATTCCTTGCCATGCGCGAGGCAAATACTGTAGGAAGAAGCAATCCATTTGGGTTTATCATCTACGTATAATATCCAGCCAGATCAACCCCTTTCGATGTTGTATTCGTAACTCTCCCTTCGCTTGTAATTCATTCACTAATTCACTAATTCCCTAAGGCTTTTCCGTGGGGTATCCCCCCATCCCCCTCCCCGGTAAAGCATGGCGTTCGCCAGCTGCTCCATGCATTCGTGCATATTCGTGCCGTTCGGATCAGCCCATTAAATTCTAATTAATAGCTATTTGTTCTTAATAGCTTCTTGTTACTACTAGTAAGGCACTTGTTACTAGAAGCGATGCACTTGTTTCTACCCTTGAGGCATGCATCTTTGGAGGTGCTTCGGATCAGCAGCCAAGTCTTGGAGGCGACGTCGTTCCACCAGCGCTGGAGGTGTAGATTTCCACGCCCACGCTGGGAAGAGGAACAGATGTTTTTGGTTCGCTTCGATTGATTAATATGAAAGAAGAGACAGTATGATGAACAGTATATTACACTACATTTTTTAGATATATGGATTACTTTTTGGTTGGAAGTCTTGAGCTTTCAATCCTTTTCAGCCGGAAAACAAAAAACAACACACTCCATATTTGCTGCCATTGGCTTTTGTCGAACTAGTATGGCAGATCAGTCGACTTGCGCGGCTGAGGGGTGGTCCTACATTGCGCGGAATAAACTGAACTTCACCTTCGATCTGGTGATGTGTGGTGGCCAATTGGGAGAGAGAGCGTTTTGGTCGGATCTTCAAAACAACAGACACATGCCAACCATAGGAGTCTCTTCTTGAGTGGATTCGTGGAGCGCTTTGGAATGTATGAGAATGACCTGTAAACGGGCTATTTGCTATCTATGGTCTCATGGTTGGAAACTTGGAATTGAGAGAAGTCTAGACCATAGATCATAGATGCTTAATATATACACGGACTGACAACTACAACTATAACAACTACTACATCTCCGTCTCATTGAATCACGCCGCGGCGCGTCAAGTTCAAGCCTCGTGTTGGCATCTCGCTTCGGGTCGTTCGGGTGGTCGTTTTGCCGGTTCCTTTCGTGGTTCCTCACCCTCACTCCACCGAGGTTCGGATGCGCGATGGCCGCTTTACGCCGCTTGACGCCGCTTTTTAGCTCCAAAATGTCGGATGCACATGGAGCGTGTTTGGATGAACAAGATCTCAAAGGGTGCATCGAGGTACTTTTCGGTGAGCTTTTGGAAGTCCAACGCCTTACTTCAAGCTTTCGAGTCCAAGAAATCATGGTGGAGTTTACATTGGGAGCCCTCAGAAGTTCCTAGGAGTTCCCGGAATTTCCTGGGAGTTCCTAGCCAACCCGATCTCAGATAGCTAACATGTTCGAGTTGCATTTTCGGAATACACCCGGCTTTGTTTTGGAAGATCCAGGACACGAGGAGTGGCAACAGAAATCAGCAGAGCCAGGGACAGTCACAATCATCACATGTCATCACCCGATCGGCGATATGGCGAGAAGAATGAACATAAAACGAACTGGAACCCCTGAATTAGAACACATCACATGCTATTTGGTTGCTTGCTATCTCCTATGCACTGAAGACCGACTTGATCGAATAACAACAGGCTGCTTGAAATATGCTGCTTGTGATTGCCTCGTCATAACTGTTGGCCGCTTGTTACTACTAGCGATGCGCTTGTTACTACTAGCGATGCGCTTGTTACTACTTGGGAGATTGATCGCCAAAAAGTGGACAGTGAGTCTTTAAAATACATGAGTTTTGACCCATCAGTGGACATGAGTGCTGCGAATGAGTCGATAGGCGACGAACTTCTGATCCACGCACTTGTTTCCATTGCAATGGATCTCAGGCACGGTAATTGCAGTTATGAATCATTTTCTATAGCTCCATCCAGCCTTGTAAACCCCAACGTTGTAATCCACACGAAAAATGGGCCAAGATGTCTTAGGGCTCAGTACAGTTGCATGAAACAGTTGCACAAGAGTCTCACTATGTCTCACCGATTTGAGGGGTCAGTCAGTCATGGTCCCGCTTGTTTGGCCTTAGGTGTGGTGTTCGAAGTGCCTATGACTCCATCCTACTTCTTGGATCATCGAGACGTGCGTCGTCCCGGGTTCCACGGTTCAAAAGACTCCCAGGTTGGCCTTCCCAGGTGCACTTGCTTTAGGATGGTTTCTGGATGTTTCTTGGGGAAACACACGAAAGGCCAATGTGTGTTTCACGTTTACACAAGTTGAAGTTGTAAGTTGTATGTATACAAGAAACATCAAGAAACGATGTGTTGCTTGGCGCACAAAGAGAAACAACAAACACTTCTCCAAGTTTGCAACTTCTAGTCCCTAGTCTTTTGCAAACAAACAAACAAACAATACACACAACGGTGAACTGAAGAAGCTGAGCTTCACCCGTTGAGACACTACTAGTAGTAAGTAGGCCACGGATGTGTCTGGGTGGGCGGTACGTTGCCGTCCTGCCGGATGACCTGCAAATCTTCTGAACTTCTGAAGATTCCAGAACACTCTTGTTCTCACATCGGCATATCGCACCCCTTTTGGAAAGTGCGAAGTGCGGAGATTTCCGAACATCGTGGGGAATAGACTCATGGCACAACCAAAGACCCAATATCCATGAGTCGCAACTATCCATGATCATTTCGTTCAGTCTTCCAGAGTCTGAACGAGTTTACGTATGTCGGACGTGCGAAGCAAGTTGTATCCAACAAGAACGATACGTATGTTTTCTTGACAAAGACGAGCGAAGGCATGGTTGCGAAGGGCCCAGCCCCTTCGGTCCGATGTGTAGACACCTCAGGTACGGAACCTGGTGGGCATGGCGGTGGGCATTGCCTTTGTCTCGGAGGTGGAGGGAATCGCCATCAGTGGTGGTCTCGGTGGCATGGTACCTGGTGGGTTTGGAATAGTGTGACTGTCACAGACATTTGTCATGCATCGGAAGTGAACTTGATGCATGACAGATGCAAGAGTAATTCAACTGGTCCAACAGTGCCATCATGGGAATGATCGTAGTTAGGTAATGTTATATTATGTATATTACCCTTTTGACGTTGTCCAAGGCATTGTTGATGCAAGAGTTTACTGTGTCCTGCTATGAGGAGTTCCTGATAGATCACTCAGATCATGTCGCATCTATCAGCATAAATTATGTGGCGTCCTCCATCCCAAAAGAAAGTGTATGCACTTTTTGGTAATGTTCGGCCACTGTGGTAAAAAATTGGGGTGACCGGTGACCGTGAATCTGAGAACATGCGTTAAGATGATTTGCTGCAGTGCGGCTTGATCGAATGTGTAGAGGGCTGCTTAGGCTTGGCTGGTACAGATTTGTGTAACATCGAGATATTCTCAAAGTTTCCAGAGCTGACGAGCTTGCAATCTAGAATATTGCAGCTTAGACTTAGATTAGCCTTACATATACACAACAACCACACTTCTTGCTATTACACCTGCTTCCTTGCAATAGGATTTAATTCGTGTCTATATAGAGTTCAGTCAGCTCCTTGTCCTTTGCTTTCACATGCAGCAAAACTGTTTGTGCATCCTACCACAACCGGGAATTTGAACACCAACCTGTGGTCGTCTTCATCGCAGCAAAAGACATCATCCGACGACCCGGAAGAGATCCAAGAGCTGTGTCGATGAAACGAAGCAAAGGTATTGCCATGAACACCGTTCATTCGGAGTCGACGGAAAATCTTGATCCCAGCGTCACAGTCAGTTGAAAGAAGAATAGATAATTAATCATATTATAATTGTTATTAATATTACTATTATACCGTAGTATTTTGTAAGTGATTTGACCGTCGACCTCACTCGCTTTTGTCGTTTCCAATGCCGCCCAAACCTCCAACACACAAATGAACAGAGAGCGGAGCTCAGCACATTCTTGGCCAAGCCGATTTCGCTGACAGGCCTTCTTCGCCTTCATCATCCCCAGCGATGCCATGAAGATCAACGCTGTGTCGATCTCGGCGGTGGCGAGCGGGTTACGCCGAGTTCACGCGCCACGCGATGGCCGCATGCGAAGCTTGGGCGTTTCGCATGATCGTGATGAGATGTCTTGACTTAGGCAGGCTTTTCGGTGGCCAACATCTTGTTTGCAGCCCGATGACCCAGGGGCCCGCCCTTTTTTCACAGATGCGGCTCTTTGAGATGATCACTTGGCAGCGTCCATTCTTCTTTCAGGCTATAGCAAGGGCAGCTGAAGAATCAGTATCAAACGTGTTCAATATGACATGCGCTGATCGGCCATTAATACAAACAATGTATTCCGCTGCTGGGGTTTGGGGTTTGGGCACTTGGTGTAGTCCAAGAACCTGTGGTTTGGAAGGGCGTTAAGGTTGTGAAGATTTACTGCAGGCATAATATGGCATATCATTTCACTATTGATTTTCACTCATTTGGTCGTACTGTACTGATGATACTGGGCGCATAGTTCAGGCGTTGCTCGCATGTACAAGGGAGGGAACAATGTCTTCCATTTCTCAGAAGTTGTCAGAATAACAATATGTATTTTGATTGCAGCATATTGCAGCTGAAGTCTCATGAAGACCTGTGAATGATTGGAATGTTTCCTAGATTAGCTTTTCATAGGTTTGTTTGATGTCAAGGAACGCGGAGAAGACAGGAGATCAAACCAGTGATTCTGGAGATTAAACCAGTGATTCTGTTGACCATAGAGGGCCAATTATGAAGTTAACACTTGGAGTTAGATGCAATGCTGCAGCCCAAATACCAAATGAACTGAAGCCAAACGTGCCTGACATTTGGGTTGTTTCATGAGTTAATTCACGACTCGACCAACTCCCCTCAAGAGACTTTGGATCCAAAATGATCATGTCTTCAGTCTTCAATGGTCATTCACCTTGACCGGCTCGTGGTTTGCTATGAGTTTAATTCTCGTCCGGGGCAGGTTCCCCCGCTCCTCCAATGTAGCTTGATCACCTGAGTGCAGACGTGACCACATGTCCGATTTTCCTTATGGAACCCTTCCAAAAGTCAGCCACCGCCCTACAGGCTGCTAACTATGTCGATGTAGTGGGCTTCATGCCAGTGGTTTGGAGGCTTTATCAGGCAAGGACGTGGGGGGCATGATGTCGACGTGGTTTCTGGGCCTTCAAATTGAGCTTGGAAGTCACTGAAAGCCCGGTTGCACAACTGCGTGAGGAGGTGATAATCCTCGCAAAAAGACTCCTGGGCTTCCGTTCTGACAACAGGGGTTGTTCGGGGATGGTAGACGTGTAGATGTCAAGGATGTCTTTTTCTTTGAGCCCGTTCCAGGTTTTTTAGTCCCATCTCCAGATGAGTCTATTGTTAAACATTCAAGTGTCTCTGGTCTTGTTGGGGTCACAGAGCTGCCACAAAATGAGATCCTTTCGCTGTTAACCGTCCTTGGTGGTTTGCGGCACTCCACCGTGGACAGAGGGTTTCACCCGGGCACTCCACCGTCGTGCCAAATCGGTACAAGAAGCAAGAAGCAAGGACACAAACTCAGGAGTATGACAAGCTGAATTGGGTACTATAAGGTACAATGGTACTATGACTATGGTACAAGCTGAATTGGGTACTATGACATACTATGACTATGGGGTACAATGGTACAATGACGCACTCGATTGCCACAAACTCAGTCTCCATGTATTGCGACCCAACGGACCGCCGGCAAGCACAGGCGGAGAACGCGCTGGATGACTTCGCTGTGGGGACCATGGCAGGGTGGCCCAGGAGGAATCGAGAAATCCCGAAGTATAGGCCTTAAGAAGTGGATAAAACCCACTTGCCTGGACTAATCCATGGAAGTGGTTTTCACCACCGGTTTGGTCAGGCTTTGCTTGATCCAGATGCTTGCAGGTCGGTGGAAGTCAGCTGGGTCGAAGCTGGTTGTTTTCGGGTTCACCATCAAGACACATAGTCCCAAAGCCATTCCCAAGCTGGGTGCAATGATGTTATATTTTAGCAGAGGTCAAGCAAAAGATTGAACATCTCGAAGGCATCATGTCAAGAAAGATGCTCTTTTTGGAGCACGAGTCCCAACAAGTTCCTTTGAGAATCTTCACAAGCTTGTCTTTCTGCAGTTAGAAGTCCCACATCATGTACCAACCAAGCTTTTCATTAAAATCATTAAAGTGTCTCCGATGCCTACCGTACCGAACATACTGTGAAGCAGACCATTGATGATGTTTGTGCACTTTAGGCGTTTTCTGTAAGATCTCACACAAAATCAGATTTTGAAACAACCGAATCATTGAAACAAATCCTACTATTCCACACATATGATCCATTCTTGAATGGACTTCTCGGTCTGTCGCGCTTTCCAGAATAAAGTATCTTAAATGAAGGTTAAACATTCCGCCCTGAGGTTCTTCTTGAAGAATGGGCGTGGCCATCATCTCCGTAGATTCACACTTCTCAAGAAGTTGGTGTCTTTTCGATTTCACTGGGACTTTGTCTGTTGGTTTTAGATCGGTTCAGGCGTAGATTGTTCATTGGAATTCTCTTTCGAAGGATGTCCAACAAGCCGTCCTGGGCGGTCGATTCCTTTTTCGAGAAAGAAAAAAGCTTGTTTGTGACCTTGTCAGTAAGTTGCTTGCCTGGGTCTTCTTTGACAAGGTGATTTTGATCTTAAGGTGGGACCCATTCGTTTGAGAGTAAGATTCCAATCAAACTTTGCGCACCATACAAGGGAAGTGCTAGTGCTATAGGTTCAAAGGGTCTTTGAACATTTAGCAGAGCATCCTGAAATGGGTAAGTATGTAGGCAAGCATCATTCAGAGGCCTTGGAATACTAACAGTCCTTATAGCCTCAGTCAAGGCCGAAGTGTAGGGAAACGTAAGTTTTGGCTTGATTGCTGGACCGCGTTGCGTAGTTTGTTGTTCTTCCTGCAGGAAGCACATCAACAGAGAACAAGTTCCAGAGGGATCGAGGGATCAAACATGATCAAAGTCATGTCTGTTTGTGAACTGGTCACCCGCAGAAGTATTGACATTTGTTGACATATTTGTTCACCATCCATTTGTGCTGAAACTCTTGATTGTGCTGGCACTAGCACCAGCGAGTGCAGCCAAGTCCGTCCCTTTCTAACTTCCATCCAGGTGAGCTTAGAAGCAAAGCAGCAGGCCTGGTGCTGCTACGGGCCTTGCTGCAGAGTGCATCAGTAAGCTCCCCAAGCACCAGGAACACCAGTAAGCACCAGTGCAGGTGCATTATTGAGAAGAGATTTGAGCCTGTTTCAACTTGCCCTTACTAATGCATTCACACTCTCTATCTATAATATTCATATATACAGTGTATGTATATATACAGTGTATGTATATATATATATATATAGTATTACTTTGTTCCCAGGTATGCAACTTTCAGCGCAAGTATGCGTTAGCATGCCTTACCACGCAATGTACCCCCACACACACCAGATTATTAAGGTTCTTGAGGTTGTTTGAGTCCAACAAGATGGTTCTTGAACCAGTCCTATTACCATTTATGTGCCGCTTTGCATTTTGCTGAGTATGTTTGGTTTGCTTTTCCTGGAAGAAAACTTCCTAAACATATCGTGTGTTGTTGTTTACTCTTGACAAAGGGTTGGTGATTTGCTCAATCATGGAAAGGATCCGCCCATGTTGACATAACTTTTACAAGATCCTTTGCCGCTTGTAGAGAAGGCTTCGTCGACTTGGTGTGTAGAGCTTCCGGGATTTGGTCAGTAGAGAACTAGGAGTACTCGGGCCTTCTAGAGGGCCCTTTGTAAGCTGCGAGAAAAACCGACCCATCGCTTTGTGCCCAATCTTGGCCAGGTTCGGGTGTTCTTCGCCTTTGTTTGCACCTTCTACCTCTGGGATGACGTACATTCGGCAAGTCTTGCCATGAGCAGTTTGGGACACACTGCACCCTTGAGAGTGTGTCACAGATTGATAGATGCTGCTCGCTCAGGGACTTGCTGTTTTGCAGGGTGTGACCATTTGCGACCTCCCTAAGGGTGGCAAATCATGCCATTTACCCAGGTCCAAAAAGTTGCACATGTTCACAGTCAGCAAGGTGTCTCTGCCCCCACCCGCAGGTGTCGGGCTTTCCCCAAGACAAAGAATTTCACCCATTGGCAAATCAGAATCAATCAGACTCCCTCGGTCTGGAGAGCTGATGTTTTTTGTTTTGAATGTAGAGTCAACAACAAAGAGCCTGTAGCTGTGATACATGTGACGCTCCAGTGACCCGGGTTCGTTGGGTTTTGGGCCGAAGCGTATTCCGAGGAGATGCTGTTTGATTTGAGGAGTTGAGCGAGACTTTGTACAAAATGGTGGATCATCATAGCATGTCAGGATCAAACATTGACTATGCCATATGTAATGTAGTGAATCATAATTCAAGTCATGATCAAGGTAATGAATGATGAACGTACTGGTACACTACCAAGTTATTATGAAGGTATATTACGCTTGTACAAAGTTATGATCAAAGTTGTTTTCTCAATTATGAATTATGATCAACTCAAAACTTGAGACTCAACTTGAGTCGATTTGAGACCCCGTGAAACTGTCCACATCTTCGACTTCACTGACGGTGTCGAGCTGAGCTGGATGCTAATTGTGAATTTCTGCAGAAAGTCCTTCGCAGGTTCATGTTTTCCCATATGGGATGTTTTAGGCTGTTCTGGGTTCGAAAGGAAGCAAGCAACCCATCCCTCCTCTGCAAATCAACATCAAGAACTGAACTTGAACGTGATGATGTGGAAACATGCCCTTTCTCGTGCACGAGTGATCCGTCCTGTGGGCAGATTTGCTTGTGCAGCTGTTGATCGCTTTGCCTCTATGGCAAAACAAATATCAGAGTATATCAGAGTATATTATATATATGTATACATATCATCATAATATATAACATAAGACACTTATGTGAGATTTGATGTGTATATATATATATATGTGTGTAAGTAGCTGCGAGTTCCTCTATACCTCAATTGTATCGCTGAATTGCTCAGAAGCACACGATGACCACTGAATTCCGGCAAGATTCTTGCATCAACCGTAGGACAAATCAACATGAGAGTATGAGATCCTCACATCAACACGATGGAGAAACGAGATGTTCCTTGCGATTCTGGAAAATTTCTTCGGGGGACATTTCAATGCTCTAAAGCAAGCTCGGGCCAAGTAGAACTGGATGTGGATCGATTTGAACAATTGCTCTACAAGTCCAGTCTGACCCAGTAAAACCAAGTCTTTTACATCCTTCAGTGGTGTTTTTGTATGACCACATCCAGTGAGGTCAAATACTTCAGTATATAGGCTTGTGTAGGCTTGTTCTTTGAACCCATCAATCTGATCTCCCGATCGCCAGGTCTTAGAGCCCATCTCCAGCATGGCCGACGAGCCCATCGGCATGATGGCGGGAGAAACACCGTGGTGAGACAAGTGAGACTCATGGGTTTTTCCCTTGCGACCTTCGTAGCTTCTTGTTACTAGTGATGGCCTCCAACCTACTTGCGATGGCCTCCACCTAATAGCGTCCTTGCTACTAGTCAACTCCTCGAAGGTCTTAAGTCTTGACGGTGATTTTGTTATGGGTGACGTATACGCTGGTGTTTTAGCGCGATTGTTCAGCAACCATTCAGATGTGGTGTTCTGAAATCACTTGATCATTCACTTTGACCTGAACCTTCAATCGTAGCACTTTTTTTCTGGCGAACCAAGGAAATGAGCCCTTTTTGGAGTTCCGTAGCGTTTAGTTTCTTTTTTTTTCTTTAAATGAAACGAGCATTTTTTCAAGATGTTGAACACTGAAGTCTTCTTGGGCCAAAGCTGGAAACCTACAAAATGCTGCAAAACGCACGCAAATTGCCGCAAAACGAGCGCAAATTGAAAAATGGCGAACCACCCAACATGGGTTGGATATAGAGGGATCCATATGCATTTTGTTGAGTGTGTGTAGCGCTTTTTGCTTGAACGAGCACTTTTGCAAAACAAGCCCTTTTTTTGTAGCGAAGGAAGCTTCATGGAGTTATGAAGATGTTTGTTGGGATGGGGAGCTTTGGCGTGTGGGCTTCACCAACTTGCAACAGAAAGGCCTCATGCGTAATGTATTTTGTAACGCCCAAATAATGCAACTGGCGAACGCGAACCGCCCATTTTGTTCGTGAACCACCCGTTTAACCCTTCCTCCGTTCGTGGGCTGCTTGGCGAACGATGCGTTTCCTTGGCTCGCGCACGTCGGACAGGAGGCAGAGCTAGTTACGCATTTGGCCAATGTCTGCCGCTAAAGGCTCCGTATCGGGTGCTGCATACTGCTCATCAAGCGCAAGCGCGCTGTGCAAACTGACCGTGCGGAACAGGTCAAGCCTTTTCCAAGCCCTGCAGTGACTTGAGGCAGTTGGATGCACTAAGCTTGCAAACAAATTAGACCACCAGTTTCTTCTTGTGGCTACGCAGGCAATCGCACTTGCACAACCCTCTGTCGGAGTCTTCAGAGCTTTAGACAAGCCTTGGTCGAAGCTCGTGGGGGATCAAGAAACACGTACGACGAAGGAGCTTGGGCCAAGAACACTCACTTTTAAAGCAATGCCCAAGTTGTGGGTCAAGGCTTTCTTTCCCCCACAAGAGTGATGAAGATCAGCCAGCAAAAACAACAAACATGATAATTCAATACTCCTACGCAGATGTGTTCCAATACGGCCATGATGCAGCCATGATGCGAACGAGTACTGTAAATTGCATTCTTAGGACACTCTCCTCTCGAGCGAGTTGTCCCTCCTTCTTG